ACTTTAAGCTCAATTTGAAACATGTTCTCAACATGTCAGAGCCTGGAGCTATGTAAACCCTGTGGCTCCCAGCTGCAGGGAAGAATCCCAACTGCAAGAGGGGGAGCTCATTAACAGATTAAAATTTGTGACCTAATGATGCTATTCAGACCGCAACACAGTGTTTGAATCCTGGGTTGCAAGTTTTTCTGGAACCTGCTGGTGACTATTCATGGTATGCAAGAAGAGGGCCAAAAGAGATCCAGCTGTGTTTATCTATTATGCTTAATTGCATTAGGATGATCTCATGGTTCAGAAAATTAAGAGTGCTTCTCCTGACCTAACATGACTAATTTGAGTCTCTGATACCACATCCAGGTTTCCTCCCCTGACTACAATCATATCTGGACCTCCCCTTTCAACAATTATTTCACCATAGTGACCATTCCTTTCCATCCCCTGATGGTTTATTTGTCCGCAAAACTCTTACCAACAACCCAGGCTGCACTGACCACCCACATCCTTGTGTTTTTGATGCTTAGAATATAGAACGGTACAGCACAGGAACAGGCCCTGTGACCCACCATGTCTGTGCCAACCATGATGCCATTCTAAAGATAATCCTATCTGCCTGCACATGGTCTGTATCCCTCTATTCCCTGGCTGTTCGTGTGTCTATCTAAAATGTCTCTTAAACTTTGCTAACATATCTGCTTCTACCAACTCCCCTAGCAGCACATTCCAGGCATCTACCACTCTCTGTGGAAAAAACTTGCCTTGCACATCTCCTGTAAACATTCTCCCTCTGACCTTAAACCTACATCCTCTAGTATTTGACATTTCAACCCTGGATAAAAGTCTTCAACTATCCATGCCTCTAATAGTTTTATCGATCAGGTCACCACTCAGCCTCCGATACTCTGGCAAAAGCAATCCAAGTTTGTCCAACCTCTCCTTATAGTTAATGAATGATTGATTTTAAACTGCAAAAGAGCTTGACTGAGTACTATTCATTTCCCTGTCTCATGTTCAATTACTTTGTCTAAGTGACTATATGTTGAGCCACAATTTGATAAACATGATCACCAGGGAACTGGAATGAAATGACAAGAGATCTCCGGTCACCACTGGATCTATGGGCAGAATTTACAGACCCAGGCAGGTAGGGGTTGCCTGGAAAATGCCACAAGTGCCTTTCCCAGCACCTACCTGCCAATTTCATGAGTTGCAGGGAGGCATTAAGCAGCCTGTTCATCCTTTCCCCAATTGTGGCCAATAAATACCACCTATGGAGCAATTAGCAGCCACCTAAGGGTCACTTCCTGCTGCTATTTCCCAGGCACTTGACTGAGGCCAGAGGTGGTCGGAAAAGTGACAGCTAACACTGTTCTCAGGCAGGAAGGCTGCAAGCAGCCTCCTATACCAATACAGTAAAACAAAGAAGACCTGGAACAAAAATTTTGGAACAAAATTGCTGGTGAAACTCAGCAGGTCTGGCAGTTCAAGGTCAGTGACTCTTCAACAGAACTCAAAACGCTAACTCTGCTTTCTCCCCACAGACCTGCTGAGTTTCACCAGCAAAGTTTTGCCCCTGTACTGAGGCCCATTTCAATCGCAGGTCTTTCACAAGTTCCAGAGAATCCCACTTTTCACCTCGCCTCTCCACCTGCCATGTTCACCTCCACCCCTAAACCCACTCGTCCCCCTTGCCATGCACTGATGGTCTAGCCCCGCTGATTAGCTTGCACCTAGCTCCAGCAACATGCATTGCAGGGGACTAGATGCTGTGCCAGAAGTGGCTACTGCTCCTAGACAGACAAACCAATGCTTTAGTGGCATATTATTTCCACCATAATCAGATTATAACAGTCAGGTCTACAATTCTACTCTGTTAAGTAAACATTCTGCAATCCTCGCACAGGACAGAAGGAACAAAATTGCTGGAGCATGTTTGACTAGTGCCTCTGTTCTGTCATCAAAGATGTAATGTGTAAAATACTTTAAAAAATGACCAACTAAAAACTGATTTGGTACTTTGTAGTAGCTCCACTGTCAGTAACATTTACTGTCAGCAGTGAATATAATCCACTGCAGTAAATTGTAACCGTGTAAGGAGGAATGTGCACTATGCTGTTACAAGCTGATCTTGTAATAAATATTCATTGCTCTGGTATTCCAATGATATGCTAACTCGTGCTTCCTAGGAAGATGTGTGATTTTTCAATCTAAAAGCAAAGTACTCAGTTCCAAAAGGCCCTGTCTCTTGCTGTGGTTCCGAGTCAACTATTAGGGCAGCTGTGAAAAATTATATATACAATAAAAGAGTTTTTATATGTTTATAAGTTCTTTTAGGAAACTGTCTAATATCTCTTGTGTAAAATCATTGTGTAACAATCAGAAGAGACAAGCATTCGAGAAACATTTTCAAAGTTGACAATACGTGACTATTTCTCCTGCATTTTTATACCAACCTGCACTATTTGGGAATTACCGCACCACTGTCACACTTACAACATGATTAGGTGATTTACTTGGAATTTGTTACTGAGAAGTCAAATTTCAACAAAATAAATACCATTGTAACTGTTAGCAAACAATTTGCTCTTTGTGGTTGGTTGGCTCGACGAGCTGATTTGTTGTTCCGCAAATGTTTCATTACCTTGCTGGGTAACATCATCAGTGCAGCATCCGATGAAGCGCTGTTGTGTTTTCCCAACTGTTATTTAAACTCTGGTGTCCATTGAGCTGGATTACCTCACTTCCGGTTTTCCTTCGCAATGGAGTGCATATGGGGTCTAGCTCTATGTGTTTATTGATGGTTTTCTTAGAGGAGTACCAGGCTTCTCGGAATTCCCGTGCTTGTCTCTGCTTTGCCTGTCCCAGGATCTTGGTGTTGTCCCAATCAAATTGGTAGTTCTCCTTATCCATGTGGATGGAGATGAGTGAGTATTGGTCATGTCTTTTTGTTGCCAATTGATGTTCGTGTACCCTTGTGGTTAATTTCCCTCCTATTTATCCAATGTAGTGTTTGTCGCAGTCTTGGGAGAGAATCTTGTATATGACATTCATCCTGATCATAGTGGGTAGTGGGTCTTTGGTCCAGGTGAGCAGTTGGCATTGGGTTGATGTGGGTTTGTGTGATACTCTGATGCCCAGTGGTCGTAGGAGTCTTATGGTCAGTTCAGATGTGTTCCTGATGTAAGGTAGCGTGATGAGTATGTCGAGGTGTGTAATGTCTTCCTGGTGTCGTGTGTGCGATTGGCATCTTTTGACCCAGTTTTTTGGGTATCCATAGTCTTTGAATACCCGGAAGAGGCACTCTTCTTCTCGGCATAGCTCTGTGCTGCGGCAGTGTGTTGTTGCCCGTTTAAATAATGTTCTCACGCAACTTTGTTTGTGTGTGTTAGGGTGGTTGCTGTTGAAATGCAGTACTTGGTCAGTGTTTGTGGCTTTCCTGTGTACCATTGTTAGGAATTCCCCCTTTGTCCTGCATTCCACCATGACGTCCAGGAATGGGAGCTGTTTGTTCTTCTCCTCTTCTCTGGTGAATCTGATCCCAGTGAGGGTGTCGTTTATTAGTTCATGTGTCTCCTCGAGTTTGTTCCGTTTAATAATGACAAAGGTGTCGTCCACGCAGCGTATACATAGTTTTGGTCGGATTAGCAGAAGGGCCATACTTTCAAGTCTCTGCATCACCGCTTCACTTATTCGTCCAGAGATAGGTGATCCAATGGGCGTCCCATTGATCTGTTCATATGTTTGGCCGTTAAAGGTGAAGTGGGTAGTGAGGCACAGATCCAGTAGCTTCAGCATGTTGTCTGTGGAGATGGTGTCACTAGGGTCTTGTTTTTCTTTTAGTAGTGTTGACAGTGTTTCTCTTGCCAGTGGTATGTCTATTGATGTGAATTGTCGAGAAAACACAACAGCGCTTCATCAGAGGCTGCACTGATGATGTTACCCAGCAGGGTAATGAAACGTCTGCGGAACAACAAACCAACGCGGTGAGCGAACCAACCACAACATCCACAATCCCAGCTATAAATCTACTCTAAAATCTTACGATATACTTTTTGATGTATACATCAGTAACTGCACCATCCAATTTTAACACAAAGTGAGAATGTTCAAAATACCTAAGATATATGACAGAGCTTTGAGGACCATGTTCATTTATAATACTAGGATAAACAGCTTGGTGCTCCCTCCCCATATTGTCAGATATGGATGCACTTTTGCTCATACATTCTGCAAATTCTGCATCATAAAATTAATCATCACTTCCAATTAATAACAGTAAGCCTGAAAATGCAGGTTAAAAAGAGCAGGAAAGTAATTATTAACAAACATAAAAATGCCAGAGAAACTCAGCAGGACTGGCAGTATCTGTGGAGTCAGAAACAGAGTTAATGTTTCAAGTTTGATATGACTTCTTCAGAACACTAATATTAACAATAATAAAGCTGTTATTAACTTGTGTTAAAAAATGAAAAGAATGTTGAACTAAAGAGCTTCATCATCCCAGCTGCATGCCAAATGATAATCACCAAGTATTCATGACACATTTGTATACTTTTCATTTTAAATTGTTTTGTCTATTCCAATTGCAAAAGAGTTTGTTTCACATAAAGATACAAATTGATATGTTAAAGTTTTTGCAATAGCAATAATTGAGGTAAAAACTGAACTTAATATATGTATATATCTTGGTCAAACAAAATCAGATATTTCTGGAGAAACTCAGCAGGTCTGTCAGCATCTGTGAAGATAAAACATAGCTAACGTTTTGAGTCCAGTGACCCTTCAGAATATATATCTTGATGTTCGCTAATACACTAAAAGTGATCCCATACTGCATTCCAAATAGCTTCACATAATATGAAATTCTCTTGTGAAATGTTGTCTGCTCAATCTCTGGTAACTTTCAGAATGAGGAATGCTTCCATCTTACCACTTCAGAATGATTTAAGTTCAGCTTCCAATGTCAAAAAGATAGTGTTTCAATTAAGTGCAATGAAACTTACCTCTGTTTCAAACGAGAAGGTTTTTCCTGATTGTAATCCTTATGGTTGTTGAACTCTGTTTTGGCACTTTCTTTCTCTTTTTCTGCTGTGGCTGAGGCTAGATGTCCATGTGCTGTTTTCATCAAAACTTCAAAATCAGAGTCTGCATCAAAATCTTCAATTTCATTTTTCTGAGGTAGGATATTGGTATTTGCCAAACCACCAATGGACACCTTGCAGAACACTTCTGCACATTCAATGGGCATGCTCAGACGATAGAAAGCAATGTCTGTGTTACTGTTTTGAGATCCAAATGACCTCTGTATGACTTTCAAGCAGGGCGAGCTGTCAACAGTGCCATCTATTCGTGTCACCTGGTACATAAATGCCATAGAAGTGTTACCAAATGATGTCCTGGTTTTTGCATATTAATTAAAAAGTACAAAATAATGTATTGCATATAACATATATTGACATTTGTAGCTAACCAACATCATTTGCTTAAAATTAAAGCCCACATTAAAGATGTTGCTTAGGGCTTTCTGTACAATTGCCAGTTCATAAATATCTAGACTTCATTTTATACAATTAACCTTATAACCTAGAATTGTAGAAATGGCCATAAAATTTTTACCATAAAATGACCAAGGGTTGGTGCATTTAATATGTTTTCAGTTTGGCTCAACTGGTCGCATTTATATTTGTAAGTCAGAGAATCTTTTACTTATTCACTCATGAGATGTAAGCATTAGTGGCAAAGCCCTCATTTATTGCTAATCCCTAATTACCTTTGAGAAGGCAATAGTGAGCTATTTGTTTGACATAGTGCAGGTGGAGGTGAGAATACTGCACAGGTACTACTGAGTAACGGATAGCATTCCAGGATAATGATCCAAAGGCAATGAAGGAATGGGAATATATTTCCATACTGAAATGCTGTCTCACTTGAATGGGATCTTCAACAGTGTTAGACATTCTGTAGAGGAAGCCTTGTTGCTGCAATGTGTCTTGTAGATGGTACACTCCTGCCACGTTATGATAGAGTTGAAAGAATGGTACATTTAAGGTGGTGAATGGAGTGCCAATCAAGCATGCTGTCTTGTCCCAGACAGTGACCAGTTTTTTAAGTGTTGTCATATTTGCACCCATCCAGCGAAGTGGAGAGTATTCCACCTTACTCTTGATGTGCCTTGTAGATGGTGGAAAGACTTCAGCACGTCACAAGGTGATTAACCCGTCACAAAGTTTCATTCTTTCATCTGTTCTTGTAAGCACAACATTTATGTGGCATGGACCTTACGTTTTGTGAAAATTGGAGCACACGGGCTGTGGATTGTGTAGGATATAATAATAGCAATGCAACTGAATTTTAAGACAGAACAGTGAGATGCTCTATTGTTGGGTACAGTCATTGCCTTGTGTGGCCCTAATATTTCACTTATCAGTCTAAACCTAGTTGTTGTCCAAGTCTTGCTGCATGTGGGCAAAGACTGCTTCATTATTTGAGGAACTGAACACTGTGCAATTAGTAATCAACAGCCCCACTTCTCACCTCAAGGGAAACAGCTGAAGCTGGTGTGACCTAAGTCAATGCCCTGAGGAACTATCATGGCAAAGTCTTGAGGATGAGGTAATTGGTCTCCATAAAACACAGTTATTTTCCTTCATGCAAGAAATGACTGAAACTGTGATGAGGTTAGGGTTAGGGTTAGAGAGCTCCCCCTACTCTGCAGCCCAAGTTCCCAATAACTTAAATTTTTCTGGTGCTCTTTGATCCCACATTAGATCACATATTGCCACGACATCAAGCGCAGTTAATTTCACTTCACCTTGAACATTAAGAACTTTTACCCACGTTTGGACCCAAATGTGAGGGTCCTGGGAAATTCAAAAATGACCATCATTGAGCAGATTATTGGAAAGTAATTAGTGCTTTGTTGGCACCTTCGATCATTATATCAAAAATGGAGTTTAGGCTGATAGGACATGAATTGGTTGGATTAGATTTGGCTTGCTTTTTGAAGCGGGATTTTGTAAAAAAAAAATCCATCTATAAATGTCAGAACATTCATTCTAGTTTACTGATATCAGAATGCAAATTCAACTATGTGACTGTATAATACATATATGTTTCCAATTCAGCAATCCAACGAGAAAGTTGGGCCAGAAGGAAATGGAAATTGGAGAGAGTCATGATTTTTAACCTTGGAACTCAGCTCCTATTGCCCTACACAGTGGGGGCAAGGAATAAAATGTGGAAAGGTGTGCTATATCAAAAAGTAGAGACAAGAGAGGAAAATAGTAATATGGGAAATGAGGATCAGAAAATTGCAAGAAGGGACAAAGAGAATAAAACCAAGGTATACTCCAACCATCAAGACCAGATTTTACACGAGATATTATAAACAAAAAGAAAAAACAAAAGGATCTGTATCAGAGTGCACAAAGCATTTCTAACAAGATAAATATGATCCGATAAACAATAAACATATGGCTGCAGGGTTAAAAGGATTGTATCATGAACTCTTTAGGGGTAAATGATATTCAAGAAGAACAGAAAGCTAAGTAAAATGGGTGGGGTAGCACTGTTAATAAAAGATGGCATGGGCACAACAGGAAGAGCTGACCTTAGGTTCAGGAGATCAGGATGTAAAATCGGTTTGGGTGGAGACATTGGGGAAAATAAGTCACTTGCAGAATAGCCACAATGTGTGACAAAGTATACAAGAAGAAATATTGGGTGCTTGTGAGAAAGGGACAGCAATAATCATGTGTGATTTCAGTCTATATCAACTGGAAACATCAAATGGAGATCATTGAATGCTTTCGAGATAATTTCTTAGAGCAGCATGCTCCGAAACTGACAAGAGAACAGATTATATTATGTTGAATAATGTGACACGATTGATCAATGACCAACAATTAATGGCAGCAGCAACCAGAATATGATTAAACTTCACACCCAATTCAAAGCGGCACTGATTGGATCAAAACTGGTATTTTACACCTAAATAAGGGCATGAATACTGAGCTAGCTGAAGTGAATGAGATATTAGGCTAGGGAACAGATCAATAGGAACACAGTGGGATATTTCAGAATGAGTTTGTTCCTACAATAAAGAAAAACTCTAAAAGGAGGATTCACCATTTTAGAATCAAAGAAGTTAGACAAAGCAAAAAAACGCAGGGTAAAACCATATAACTATACAATGATGAGTGGTAGATCAGGTGATTGATCAGAATATAAAGAACATAGAACATAGAACATAGAACAGTACAGCACAGTACAGGCCCTTCAGCCCACGATGTTGTGCCGAACTTTTACCCTAATCCTAAGGTCTATCAAACCTCCACCCCGACCTTATACTATCATCCATATGCCTATCTAATAGCCGCTTAAATGCCCCTAATGAGGCTGACTCCACTACCCTCTCCTCAATGCATTCCACGCCCCGACCACTCTCTGAGTAAAGAAACCACCTCTGACGTCTCCCCTATATCTACCTCCATTCACTTTAAAACTATGCCCCCTCGTAATAGCTACCTCCACCCTAGGAAAAAAGTCTCTGGCTGTCTACTCTATCTATACCTCTGATCATTTTGTATACCTCTATCAAGTCACCTCTCATCCTTCGTCGTTCTGAAGACAAAAGCCCTAGCTCTCTCAACTTTTCCTCGTAAGACTTTCCCTCCATTCCAGGCAACATCCTGATAAATCTCCTCTGCACCTTTTCCAACGTTTCCACACCTTTCCTGTAATGAGGCGACCAGAATTGGACACAATACTCCAGATGTGGCCGATCCAGGGTTTTGTATAGTTGGAGCATAACTTCACGGCTCTTGAACTCGATCCCTCTATTAATGAAAGCTAACACACCATACGCCTTCTTAACAACTCCATCCACCTGGGTGGCAGCTTTCAGGGAACTGTGGACATGAACCCCAAGATCCCTCTGCTCCTCCACACAGCCAAGAATCTTTCTGTTAACCTTGTATTCTGCTTTCAAGTTTGTCCTTCCAAAATGAATCATCTCACACTTTTCAGGGTTAAACTCCATCTGCCACTTCTCAGCTCAGCTCTGCATCCTATCAATGTCCCTTTGTAACCTAGAACAGTCCTCTGCACTGTCCACAATGCGACCCACCTTCATATCATCCGCGAACTTACTAATCCACCCTTCCACTCCTTCATCCAAATCATTTACAAAAATCACAAATAGAAGAGGACCCAGAACAGATCCTTGTGGTACACCACTCATAACTGAGCACCATGTTGAATATTTCCGTCCACTACCACCCTTTGTCTTCTAAGGGTCAGCCAATTCTGAATCCAATCTGCCACATTTCCCCCTATCCCATGCCTCCTTAACTTCTGCATGAGCCTACCATGGGGAACCTTATCAAACGCCTCACTTAAATCCATGTATACCACATCCACTGCTCTACCTTCATCCACATATTTGGTCACCTCTTCAAAGAATTCAATAACGTTTGTGACGCATGATCTATCTCTCACGAATCAAACTGTGCCTTTCCAAGTGATCATAAATCCTATTTCTCACAGCCCTTTCCAATAATTTGCCCACTACTGATGTAAGAAAGGCAGGGAATAATAAGAAGGCTAATCAGGAGAAAGAAATTAAGTGTGAGAGGAAGGAATCTAAAACCAGATAGCAAGAGTAGTTAGCAACACGTATTTTAAAAGGAAAGTAATGGAGTGTTGGTCCTCCAGAGAGTGAAAGTAGGGAATTAATAGTCAATCATAAGGAAATAGCAGGTGAAATTAACAAATATTTTGCTTAGGTCCTAACTATAGAGGGTACATAAAACTTCCAGTAGTAGCTGTAACTCAGGAGATGAAAAAGAGAGAGGAATTTTGTGAAATTACACTCATGATGGAAGCGGCACTCAGCAAATTGCTGTGGGCTGACAACTCTGCTAGGATCTTAAATGAGGGCTAATGAGAAAGTGGAGGCATTGGTATTGATTTTCCAAAATTCCCTCAATTCATGAAAGGTTCCATTAGACTGGAAAACAGCAAAATGTAACCCCTCTATTCAAGAAGGGAGGCAGGCAGGAAACAGGGAAGTATTTACCAATTAGCTTGACATCTGTTGTTGGAAAGGTGATCAAATTGATAATTAAAGAGATTAAAGCTGTGTACTTAGAAATCCGCCATGCCACCAGAAAGAGTCAGCATGTTGTGTGAAAGGGATTTGAAAGATAATGTACGCTGTGGATAAAGAAGAGCCAGTTGAGGTATTATATTTGGATTTCCAGAAGGTATTTGATAAATTGTCACATCACGTTTAGTAAAACCTCATGGTTTTGTATGTAACGTATTAGCATGGATAAAAATTGGCTGGCTGGTAGAAAACAGAGAGCCTGCATAAATGGAACTTTGTCTGATTAGCAAGATGTGATGAGTGGTGTCCCACAAGAGTTTGTGCGAGGGCCTCAAGTTTTTACAATTTACACCAATTACTTAGATGACGGAAGCAAAGACATGACAGTGAAATTCAGAGATGACATGAAGGCAGATCAGAAAGAATGTTATGAAAAAGACATAAGGAGGTTGCAGATGGATATAAAGAGTTTGAGTGGGCAAAAATCTGGCAGATGGAGTATAATGCAGGAAAATACAAAAATGTTCACTTTTGCAGGTAAAACAAAAGAGAACAAAGTATTAATTAAATGGAGAATGACTGTAGAATTCTGAGGTGCACAGGAGTTTAGGTGTTCTGGTACATCAGCACAAGAAGTTAGTATGCAGGCAGCAGGTAATTAAGAAGGCTGATGGAATGCTACCCTTTATTACAAGAAAAATTGAGTTAGCGTTCAGTTATACAAGGCATTGGTAAGACCACATCTCAAATAAGGTGTGCAGTTTTGGCCTTGTTATTTAAAGAAAGAATGTATAAATGTTTTTCAGGCAGTTCGGAGGTGTTTACTAGGTCGATTACTAGGTACTTTTCCCTGCCCCTACACCTCCCCCATCACACCCATCCCAGGCCCCAAGAAGACTTTCCACATCAAGCAGATGTTCACCTGCACATCTGCTAATGTGGTATACTGCATCCGCTGTACCCGGTGTGGCTTCCTCTACATCGGGGAAACCAAGCGGAGGCTCGGGGACCGCTTTGCAGAACACCTACGCTCGACTCGCACTAAATAACTGCACCTCCCAGTCGCGAACCATTTCAACTCCCCCTCCCATTCCGCAGACGGCATGTCCATCCTGGGCCTCCTGCAGTGCCACAACGATGCTACCCGAAGTTTGCAGGAACAGCAACTCATATTCTGCTTGGGAACCCTGCAGCCCAATGGTATCAATGTGGACTTCACAAGCTTCAAAATCTCCCCTCCACCGACCGCATCCCAAAACCAGCCCAGCTTGTCCCCACCTCCCTAACCTGTCCTTCCTCTCAGCTATCCCCTCCTCCCACCTCAAGCCACACCTCCATCTCCTACCTACTAATCTCATCCCACCCCCTTGACCTGTCCGTCCTCCCTGGACTTACCTATCTCCTCCCTACCTCCCCACCTACACTCACCTTTACTGGCTCCATCCCCACCTCTTTGACCTGTCTGTCTCCTCTCCACCTATCTTCTCCTCTATCCATCTTCTATCCGCCTCCCCCTCTCTCCCTATTTATTTCACAACCCCCTTCCCCTCCCCCATTTCTGAAGAAGGGTCTAGACCCGAAACGTCAGCCTTCCCCCTCCTCTGATGCTGCTTGGCCTGCTGTGTTCATCCAGCTCTACACCTTGTTATCTCTTGATAAGTGGAATGAGTGGGCTGTCTTATAAGAATAGGTTGGACAGGCCAAGCTTGTTTTCACTGGAAGTTTAGAAGAGTTAGAAGGCGATTCTTGTTAGGAAAGGAAATCAGAACTTTTGGATGGGAATGTGCAATTGGAAACACCAACATATCAGTCATGATCTTATTGAATGGCGGCGTAGGCTTCTGCTCCTAATTCATATGTTTGTATGTTAGGATAACTGAACTGTCTGTGTATTACAAACAACAGCCGCAAAATGCAAAGACATCAGGTGCATGACTCAAAAGCTGAACCAAATGCTGACTTTCAAAAGCACGTCATTAACATTCAAACCCAGTCTGGAAGAGATGCAATCTGTTTGAAATTTATCACAGGGTTACTGGTGCTTAGCTCTAAATAATGACGAGCAAATTTTCTGACAATATTATTCCCCCTTGAATTTGAGACTAAACACAGATATCTACCCTACCTCAACATGTTCGTGGTTTGCAGGTACAGGTACAAACTGAGGTAACCGTTTACTAAACCACATTGTGATGTCTCTGTTCATGTTCACAGCAAAGGGCTCATATCCTTCTTGCAGCCCACAAATGGTGAAGTACTTCAGGGTGCCAACATCATTGCCAAAGTTCATTCTGCCAACTTGAGAGAGCCCCAGACTACATACTGGAATAAAACCTGTGGTGTGAGTGGGAGGGCAAGGAGAGGAAAAACAATGAAAGCAAATCATTATTATAGCACTTGCAGTACTAACGTAAGGCACGTGTTTAATAACTATTGTGAGAAAAGGACAACTTGGAGATAATTCTGAATTTGGGCAATCTGAAAGATCAGATAAACTGCACAATACATGTCTCAGAATAATTATTTTCTTTGACGCCAATGGGAAAGAAAACTGCTGTACAATGTCAGGCTAAGCCAAAGTTTCCTGTTTTACATTATTGCCCAGAGTCAAAATCTCCCCCTTGTGTTTGAAACAGCTCAAAACTATCTAAATATTTTTCATTACACCATCTTCTACAATCATTTATTCAGAGCTCACATGCTGTGAATTTCCTTTATCAAGTGACTAGTTAATTACAGAAATCGTAAAACATGGGAGAACTATTGAATAGAACTGTGGCTGCCTCACAGCGCCAGGGACCCAGATTTGGTTCCAACAATAGGTGACTGTCTGTGTGGAGTCTGCATGTTCTCACCGCATCTGTGTGGGTTTCCTCCAGGTGCTCCAGTTTCCTCCCACAGTCCAAAGATATGCAAGTTAGGTGGATCGACATGCTAAATTCCCCATAGTATTCAGGGATGTGCAGGCAGGGTGGATTTGCCATGGGAAATGTGGGGTGCTGGGGGAGGTGGGCAAGTCTGGGTTGGATGCTCTTCAGAGGGTCAGTGCAGACTCAACAGGCCAAATGGCCTCTCTGTGCACTGTAGGGAATCTACGATTCTATACTATGTACCTGCTGCAATGACCATCTGAACCGAACTCAACACAAATTGTGAACAATTTTTGTGCTTTAATTTCCTCAGACGCTTAAGTATGATTCTAATCAATTCAAGAAAGCAGTTCCAGTGCAGCATTTCCAGAACTGTTACATACTGGCACTGTGCAGGCCCATGGGGCTGCAAGTTGATCTTACTCTATAATCTAAGGTCAGCTAATTAGGAAAATGTGCCCAGCCTATATTGCATCATGTACTGGGACAACTGCAAGGGATAGTTGCCCTTGAAAAAGTGTCAGATTTCATTTATAAACAATTTACAGCAAGAAGGCCCAAATTGCAGACTGATAACTGGAGGCCAAAATCTTGTACTGAAAGGTTTTCACCAGTCTGTTTCATAACATCCATCAGTAATGGTTGCAGAGTGCTTTGAGCAGAGTTGTACAGACTTACCAAGTTCTTTTCTTGTAGTCTATTTATTAATAATGGAATGAGAGCCCAAGTGAACCTTACCTATCCAGTTCTTTCAACCAACAGCACTGTAGGACAGTGCTTCCCAAACCTTTTCCCACTGTGGTCCCACTTTGAGGCTTGAAAACTATCATAATCCCTCAATGAGACGTCAGAAGAGGAAAAGACAAATTTACAGCAAGGGGAAGGAGGTTAGTCATTGCTGCCTTGGAGATCACAGCCCCAAAAACTTCCAAGTTTCCTTCTCATTTGGAGTCACAACACCTGTTTTGAAAAGCACCACTATAGGGCACGTTAAACTGGTCTCTTATCCACTTGTCCAGATGTTCATGGGAGCTCACACTGTGGAATAAGTCACACTTTTATGCTTGCAATGCTTTTTGCACCAACTGTTTAATTAGCCCCTATGACTCATTAAGCTGGGACATATGAGAATTTGTTGTGTCGGTAATTAAAATATGGAAGAAAATAAAGCACTTAAGTGGATGGATTGAAAAAAAGCATTTCATCAGTTTAACCATCAGCAGTTTGAGCTCTAAAATGACACGAGAGCTTCCACTTCGAACAAGTCATACCTTTACACAGGAATGCATTTTGTTAGATCAGAGAGACAAGTGTTTCAGTTTTGCAGGAAGGAGCTTATCGACTTACCTGTTCAAATGTTTCTGAAACAAAAGGTTGCCCTGAGTAACTGATCAATGCTAAGAACAAGCAACTGCAATTGCACCTCATGTAGCCATCAAGACCACCACACAGTACAGATATCTAGCAGGAGATACCAAAAGGATGACAAATACATCCCTCCTACACAACAGGATGCTCAGTATTAAGAGTCTTTTTCTTAAATCTGTATTTGACATTTGTGACTCCAACTCCAGGTCTAAACCAGCTCTTAACAACTGGGGTATCACAAGCAAGCTAATTACACAATACAACACGAAGGACATTTAGGTTTTACAGGCATTAGGCTCATGACTAAGCATTCAAGATGTCAAAGTGGATGCACACACACATCTCAGACCATATGCACGCCACCCAGCACATAATAAACTCAGAAAATGAGGAGACTGGGATCCACAGCAGTCAAGGGAGTTAGACCGTTGTTTGATTCAAATAAGGGACCTCTTTCCAACTTTCCAAAATTACACCAGGTTGACTGAGTTTGCGAAAATGTAGTCCATGTGTGGCCAAATTTGCAGTCTCTGGAGGGGAAGCCAAAGACCACCATTGAAAAGATAAGTTCGTTTTAAAAAATACATAAATCAAACTGAAACCAAGAGAAGTGCTCCTTTTCCAGCTTCCCAATACACTGCGCCAGCAGCATCCACACAGTTTCTGTCCTGATGACAGCAACCCCTCCAGTCCACACTACCTCTGAAGAAGAAGATACATATGCCTCATTGGTTGGCTCCTGCACCTTCCTTCAGCCCAGATACTGACTCAGTGAGTACTAGAGCCAGATGAGAGTGAGGAGCACATTTTGGTGAGCACGTCACAGGCATGGGTCGGCAAATGACCAAGGAAGAAATGTCCCTGGACTCTGGCATTGAAAGGACTGCCGACTAGGTGCTAGTTCAGCTCAAGGCAAGAGAGAACCCCATGGTTTCAAATAATAATAACTTAAAGTCCAAACAATGAAGGATGACACAGCTGATCACAGACAGGGAAAGTGGGGGTGAGGGTAGGTGGGGTGGGGGAGGGGGATGTCAGGCAGATTTCCTGTTTCATGGAGCCACATCAAAACAGGAGTCTTGAACCATCATGTCAGGCAATGAAACAGACATAATAAAGGTGAAGAGAACCAACAACAGAAAAGAAGGGAGGAATTGAAGGCAAGGCCAAAAGAAACAATTTTCAAGTTTTAGTCATACATTCTGGATGTGTTGGGGAATATTAGAAAAATCAGCTTTGCCTGCAACAATACTAAGGTTAATTTTCACACAAGAAATGCAATGTATGAAAAAATTATTGGTCCTCAAACAAGAAGCAGTCAATGTGTGAACAGACTGAAGATCCGAAGAGTTTTGCAGCACAAAAAACAAATTATTGGCACACAAACCTCTTCCCAGCTTACTTCACCTTACCTAACCAATATATCACTTTTTACAGTGTTATTAAACTATCACAAACAGGACTGAAGCTACTGGGAATTGTAAGCAGTGAATTTTCCCACACTGCCCTACTCACCCTAGCCATTATTGATATGTTGCACAACTCCAAGTGCTGAAAATCAATCAGAGTATTTCTTGTCTTAATTGATATTTTGCAGGTGTAGGTCAACAACTCATCCATGTTCACATCCTGTTCATTCAAGGGTTCAGCAGGACATATAATTATACTTTGCACTTGAATTATTCAAAGCTTTCTGCACTCAACAATGTCGAATTGTCAGTCACTACTAAAATTCACTCTGGCCCTTACTGAACACACACAATACACTTAGAGATAGCTGGAACTGCCGATGCTGGAGAATCTGAGATAACAAGGTGTAGAGCTGGATGAACACAGCAGGTCAAGCAGCATCGGAGGAGCAGGAAGGCTGACGTTTCGGGTCCAGACCCTTCTTCAGAAATGGGGGAGGGGAAGGGGGTTCTGAAATAAATAGGGAGAGAGGGGAAGGCGGATAGAAGATGGATAAAGGAGAAGATAGGTGGAGCGGGGACAGACAGGTCAAGGGGGCAGGATGAGGCTGGTAGGTAGGAGATGGGGGTGGGGCTTGAGATGGGAGGAGTGGATAGGTGGGAGGAAGGACAGGTTAGGGAGGTGGGGACGAGCTGGGCTGGTTTTGGGATGCGGTCGGTGGAGGGGAGATTTTGAAGCTTGTGAAGTCCACATTGATACCATTGGGCTGCAGGGTTCCCAAGCAAAATATGAGGTGCTGTTCCTACAATCTTCGGGTGGCATCATTGTGGCACTGCAGGAGGCCCAGGATGGATATATCGTCCAAGGAGTGGGAGGGGGAGTTGAAATGGGTGGCGACTGGGAGGTGCAGTTGTTTGTCGCGAACTGAGCATAGGTGTTCCACAAAGCGGTCCCCAAGCTTCCGCTTGGTTACCCCGATGTAGAGGAGGCCACAATGGGAACAGCGAATACAGTATACCACATTAGCAGATGTGCAGGTGAACATCTGTTTGATGT